CAGTGTTTTTGTGTATAAACTCTAGGTAAGCTCACAAAACTATTTTGAAGTTTCATTAATGTTGGTGAAAGCATTTTGCAAACTGTGCAGCACTGTCCAAATGTTATCCAATATATCCAATGACATATCGGTCTTGATATGTCATTGAGAAGGGTTCCCAAGTTCTGCTAATGAAATCCATGAGGACAAGAGCAGGAGATACAGTGAATTTATGCCCTCAGAGGCAGATGGGGCAGAACAAGGCCTCAGAGGCAGAAAAAGGATAGAAGATAGTAGTGTGTTTACAATAATTGTTAATTGTATGTTAATTATTCTTTCTCATTGGCATGGGTGGTTTGGTGAAGGGTGAATGAAACATATGCACATATGGAAAACAAAATTGTAACCCTGCCCAAAATTAAAAAAAAAATCATAAATGAAAAGAAAAAAAAAGGAATTTATGTCCAGTGGCTACACTTAGGCTATTTGACTTTGAATTTAATTGCCTGAATTACCTTCAGTGCTTGCCATCAACTCCTCTGAGCTGCATCTCTTGCCCTTATTTCCAGTAGGTGGGTGAGGGCTGGTGGATGGGGGTGTGGTATTTCTTAGGGACTTCTCTGCAAGCTTTATAGCCAGATTTCAGTGACATGACCAAGATTATAGGGAGATATGTGAATTCCAGTTTTGGACGGTAGCCTGGAAATGAACCAGAGGACATCTGCGTGTGGATACCATACCTCTAGCTGACTGATACCTTGGGGGGGGGGGGGAGGAGGGAGGAGGGGGACGGGTGTGGTGCAGTTTGGCGAAATCTTCATATTTTCTGAAGTTTATTTTTCCCCCAAATGTGAAACTGTCACATATTCATTCACATGGCTGCTCTACTGGCGAGCTGGACTAGGGAGGCAGCCTTGGGTGGTAGCTCTGGGCTTCCATTTTCTCATTTCTAAACTGATGATGGTACCACCTTCCAGAGGGCTGTGAGGAGAAAACGGAGTGCCCAACCCCCGAACGGACCTGGCTGCAGAAATATAGCAGGGAAACATCAGCCGCTTGTGATCTGTTGCTATTTGGTCATCTCCAGGTACTCAGATTAAATGGAATTACGGGATTAAGCAGGCCTTTCAAGTTTGGTGGTCAAGAAAATATTAAAGGGTTTTGTATCAGAAAAAAAGGAACTAGCCCACTCCCCAACACCTCATGGCGACACATCTTTTTAAAAATAAGTTTCAGGGGCTTCCTTGGTGGCGCAAGGGGTTAACACTCAATCTATGAAGCTATCCGCAGCCACTGCAGCACGAGTTCTATCCCCAGCCAGGGAGCTACCCAGTGGCGCAGCAGACATCTCCTGTCTCGCCCGTTGCTCCCCTCAGCAGTGTATTTCAGTCCATCTGCCTCTTCTGCTCCCCACTCTGTGTCTGGTGAATCCTCTTACCCCGCAACACCTCTGCCCTGTACCCCAGTTCTTGTATGCGTAAATAAAATCTTTAAAAAGAGTTTCAGCAAAAATTAATGAACTAAATGTAAAAACGAGTACTCGAAAGTATAATGCGATTTTAATTATCAAGATGGTGCCAGACAACCGAAGATTGGGGAACACCGTAATGGCATAGCTCTTCCCGTCACATCCAGGCCCAGCCAGGTCCGTACCAGACACACCTGCGGACTCCGCCGCGCTACGCTTCCGGGGGTGGGGGCGGGGCGGCAGAAAGGGCGGGAGCGCGGGGCCCTGCGGGCACCAACATTAATTAAGGGCTAGGCGGGCTTCGCCCGAATCTCTCCGGGCCGAGCCTTGCCGAGGGCCTCGCAGGACCCTCGGCGCCCAATCTCCACGGCTGGCTTCGGCACTTGGAGCCAGCGACTTTGTTTTGCAAGACTTCCGAGAGCGTTTCCTCTTTTGGGAAACGTAATGGTTGACACTGCCCACGCCGGGCGGACGCGCACTGGGGAGAAAGACTTCGGCCTCAGAGGGCGGAAGGTGCGCCTGCAGCTCCTCAGCCGCTGTGCTTCGGCTGCCGGCAGCTCGAGAGGAGGCCTCGATCAGGCCCGGCCCCGGGTAGCCACGATAAAGGACCCTACTCGCGCCGGTTCTAAAATGAGGACAAAGCCCGCCCGCTTCTAGCATGCGCGAGACCCTGCGGCCAATAGGACGCCGGTGCAGGGTTGAATGATGTGAGGACGCAGCCAATAAGCATGCATCTTGTTGCGAGGTGGGCTTGGCTCCGGCGTTATAAAGAGCGCCACGAGTCGGCATTGTCAGGCAGCGGCACCGCGCGGGCCCGAGCCAGCTTTTGGGTTAGTGGGTTCGGCGCGGCGGCCGAGGAGGAGGGCGCGAGGTCTCGGCGGCTCCGTCAGCGGGCGGAGGCGAGGCCCGACAGCGCGAGCGTGAGCGCGGCCAAGTCGCGGCGCCTTCCCGGCGGGTGGGGACGAGCGGGCCCCGCGGCGTCATCGGCGGCGAGGTGAGTGAGCGGCCGGGCCCGCGGGCGGCGGGCGGCCGCCGGGGCGGGAACCGTGCGGGCCTGACCGCATGTGGCCGCTCATTGCAGGAGCCGCCGCCTCCCGGCCTAGCATGTCGGAAGCGGGTGAAGAGCAGCCCATGGAGACTACGGGCGCCACCGAGAACGGGCACGAGGCCGCCCCCGAAGGCGAGTCACCGGCCGGGGCCGGCTCGGGGGCCGCGACGGGCGCTGGAGGCGGGAGTGCGGCGCCCCCGACGGGCAACCAGAACGGCGCCGAGGGCGACCAGATAAACGCCAGCAAGAACGAGGAAGACGCGGGGTAGGTGCGGCCGCAGGCCGACGGGGCCGCCGCCTTTGTTCCGGGGCCGCCTTTTGTTGGCGCCACGCGGCGGGGGGAGGGGCGGGTGGCCGGGGCCTGCTTGCGGCCCTCCGCCCGGCTCCGCGGCGCCCGCCAGCCGCCCGCGCTGGAGTTTGCAGGAGTTTGTTGCGGGGACTTTGGCGCCGCCCCGGGGCCGGTCGCGTGGGGCTGGGGGTGGCGGCCGGGAACGGCCCCGCGCTCGGACCCGGGCGGACCGGGTGTCAGGCGGCGCGGGGCTGCGTGGGCGGAGTTGGCGTGCACCCGGTCGCGCCCTCCCTCCTCCGCCTCCTGCCGAGGGCGGAGTCACGGGCTGAACGCGGTCTCGGCCCCCGGAAATCTCGAGTTCCTTGAGAACTCCGAGTTCGCGGAGGTGGTGAAGACTGCAGGGACCGTAGGCTTTTGATACGTGGTTTGCTAGGCAAACTGCTGCTATTAGTGTGCGCTCAGGTCTTAGACCCCTGGAGAGGTTACCTTTCCTTTTCCTCCAAGTCGTGGGCTGCAAAGTCTCATGAAGCTACTTGAATTTGGGAGGGTATTGGAGAGCTAACATCTTCCAAAGGTGGAACTCTTAGGACCTTTGTTCCCGATGGTGACTTTATTACTGTTTAGGGAAAGTTGGCCGGTGCCAGCCCTTCCAAAGCCACAGCTTTCTTACAAGACTTGTTGCCATGTGTCTCACCCTGTCATTTCAGAAAAATGTTCGTTGGTGGCCTGAGCTGGGATACCAGCAAAAAGGACCTAAAGGATTATTTTACCAAATTTGGAGAGGTCGTTGACTGTACAATAAAAATGGATCCCAACACTGGCCGGTCAAGAGGGTTTGGGTTTATCCTTTTCAAAGACGCAGCCAGTGTGGAGAAGGTAAGCCAGACTACTTTCTACCAGTGGTCTCTGTGCCTAAGAGGTGACATTCTTAGAACTTGATAAGTTTGTGTTCTGCATGTGGGGAGTTCTTTGGGAAAAGTAGAGGTTCGGAATTTTCCTGTTTTTGGAGGGATTATGAATACAGATTAATTGGAGTGAGGATGGGCTGGTGATAGTTCATATATGTTATCTCATTGTGTCTATTCTGGATACTGTTTTACTTAATCTAGGACTGCCTGCCCAGGAAGAGAGCCTACAGCATGGGGCCAAGGGCTGGGTGGGGGGTGGTTATTGGCATTTGCAAATACCAGCTCTATTTAAAGTTTGCAGAAAATTGGATTGATAGTTCAGGGTGGTGCAAGATTTGAAAGGTTTCTTTCTGTGTACCTGTGTTAGAGGTTGTGGATCCAAAAGAAGGGCTTTATTCCAGGGTGGTTCTGCTGAGTTAGAATCCAACTTCCTGCTGTTGCTATAGGTACTGGACCAGAAGGAGCACAGATTGGATGGCCGAGTCATTGACCCTAAAAAGGCCATGGCTATGAAGAAGGATCCGGTAAAGAAAATTTTTGTGGGGGGTCTGAATCCTGAAGCCACTGAGGAGAAGATTAGAGAATATTTTGGCGAGTTTGGGGAGGTGAGTGACCCTTCACCTGAGGTCCGTCTGGTCCTTGGCAGTTCTGACTGATTGGCGCCTTCAGCAAGGTTTCTTTTTCACCCTCTCAGGTTCTGGGTTTTTTCCTCTGTGGGTTCCTTTTAAGCCATAGGTAGGGGGTGGGCGCTGGTACTGAGCTTTTCCTGTGTTTACAGATCGAGGCCATTGAACTTCCAATGGATCCTAAGTCAAATAAGAGACGGGGTTTTGTCTTCATCACCTTCAAAGAAGAGGAACCTGTGAAAAAAGTTCTGGAGAAAAAGTTCCATACCATCAGTGGAAGCAAGGTAATGTCCTTGGCTCTGATGCCTGGCCAACTGGTGGAGAGCTGGCACTTGAAAGTGTGGGTTTGGGGTGGGGCTGCCTGCAAGAGCTCTCCAGCATAGCCTGTGTGATGCAGAGATTGTTGCTCTGATTAGGGGAAATGGCCCTATCCTTTCAGGAACTCCTTGCTTGGTAGGAATGACAGTAGATACAGATGTGAGGCAGGAGAGAGCGTAGTATGTTTGATCTGTTTTAGAGCATGTTTAACAGCCTCTTTGAGTCCTCACTTAAAGCTAGCGGTCACAGTGTCCTAGAATTAGAGCCCAAGGTGTATAAGGCCTGCAGTTAAGATTTCAGAAGATTCTAGAACTAATGTCATTTACTGATTGCTGTATTTGTCTTCTATGGACAATGTTGCATATTTTCCTGTCTCTGTTTGCCACAACATCTTTATTTCCAACTTCTTTGGGTACTTGTTTAATAAACCCACATCCAGACAGAGATCCTTCCCAAAGAACTCCCACAGCCCTGGGCAGTTTAAATCAAGGGGTGGTTTTGCTTTGAAGTGAGTAGAGCGAGAGGTTGGTATCTCCTCTCTGAACTCTAGAAGAAAGTAGTTCATGTAGATCACCAGGTGGCCAAGAGGCAGTTGGGAGTTGAGGGTGGGGCCATTGCAGGGTGTGGCAGACCCTGTCTGAGCAGGAGTGGCAGTCAGATAAGGTGGGATAGGTAGGGTGAGACTCCTGGAAGCCTCAGTCCTGCTGAGAATTAAGATTTGGATTCAGGGTAGGACCCTTTTTAATTTGGGGGGGGGGTAAGATGGTGATCTGTTGTTAACCTTAGTGTACACTTTGCTGTGCTATAACATGAAAAGGGCGCAGAGAGAGCCTATGGGGTAGTTTTGGTTAATCTGCTGGTAGTAGATCTTAGTGTGTGTCTGGCTGGCTGTAGTCAGCATTTTAATTCAACAAGAGAGAAAATGTTTTCTGTTTTTTTATAGGAGTAAGCCAGTATGTTTCACTGCAGTCCTTAATGGGGGTAGATAGCTGTTGAGGAATTTCTTGGAAAATACATTTCTGGTTTATAGAAGTAGGAGCTCTGGCAAGGTTCCTCAGCCTACACCCACTCATAGAAGGCAGATTTTTGAGCAAAAGAATAATTGATTCTGGACCCTGAGGGGACAGATAGCTGGCCCATCCCAACAGTGATCAGTGTTGAAAGAGGATGGGGTTGCAGCATGGCCCCAGGCAAGCCCTGCTTGGGCTGACTTGATGGAGGTCAGGGTCAGCAGAGGTGGATTTACTGGGTGGTGGGATGCTTCATTTCTTCTATAAAAGAAAAAAAAAAAAAGAGTTAGAAAGCCTCCTTATCCCATAAGGCTTTTTCATCCAGAAAACCATCTGATTCCCTTGTCCAGTAGGACAATGTAGCATCAGTCTTGCCACTTGGTGCGGTCTAAATACAATGGACTGGGTGTCATTGGTCGTCTTCCACTTTGACATGTCACCTGCCCACAGCAGAAAGGCCCTAGTGTGAGGCTTGTCCATCTAGGTTTCGGTTGTGCTGAGAGTTGCTAGCCTGATGTGACTTCCCACCCCAGCATATTTTGGTTTTGAAGTGATGGGCCAGATCTGCCATCTGAATGTTCATCAGTGAGGGTTGTTCATCAGTGAGGGTCTGTGCATGGTCCCTGACCCACTGTCCTCTTGACTTTTCAGTGTGAAATCAAGGTGGCCCAGCCCAAAGAGGTCTATCAGCAGCAGCAGTATGGTTCTGGGGGTCGCGGTAACCGCAACCGAGGAAACCGTGGCAGTGGTGGCGGTGGCGGAAGTGGAGGTGAGTAGAACCCAGATGAACATGGGTCTTGTTGCCCTGCCTGCATGGAGCTGCTCTGCCTGTCTTGGGGGCTCTCTGGCCCCTGGTGCTTGATGGATCAGGTGGGCAGGAGCCACAATGGTTCTCTTGGGCTGAGGTGCTGTTGCTGCTTGGAATGGAAGAGCCAGTTTCTTGTGTGGCTTGGGGTCATGGGGCAGAGGGGTCCTTTGCGCTACACGCTCAAGGTTGGGAGGTACAACGGGTTGTGCTTGGCTCTATGGCAGTCCTGAGTCTTGGTACACCCGTGGGTGGGGTGGGCACAATGTAGGGCTGTGCCAGGCGCTTTACCTCCTTTGGTCCCAGGCCCCTCTGACTCCAAAGCCTGAACTCCATCCTTATCAAGGCCAAGCTGCCAGGGAAAGGGGGTGGTGGTGATCAGGGTGATTCCAGTGAGTGAGCTGCTGCCTCGTTGGTCTGGAGCAAAGTTAGTGTTCTGTCCTATTCTGTCTGACCTCTGATCCCTTGCTCGGGTCTCAGGTACAGAGCTGGACCCAGGCCCTCTATACTATGATAGCAATTCCTTGATTTCTACCTCAGTTGCCATAGTAACCCCGCCACCCAAAGGGCAGGATTTCCTCCATCCTAGCTCCTGCGTGTGCTAAATGGTCCATGGGCCCCTGTGCCCTGCTCCCCCCACAGGTCAGAGTCAGAGTTGGAATCAGGGCTACGGCAACTACTGGAACCAGGGCTACGGCTACCAGCAGGGCTACGGGCCCGGCTATGGCGGCTACGACTACTCGCCCTATGGCTATTACGGCTACGGCCCCGGCTACGACTACAGTAAGTAGGAGAGAGGGAGGCCCCATCCGCTCACCCACCCGGGAGGCAGGACAGACAGCGCAGGGGCCATTGGCAGCAGGGGCTTTGGAGTCTGACAGGCTGGGCTTTGTGGCCTGGCTCGGTCACTGGAGCTATGAAATTTGACCTCTTGAGCTTACGGGTATCAGAAGGTGGGGAAAGTATCTTGGCTCCGACGAGGATGCATGTCAAGCGCCTGGCACAGGGGTAAATATTCAGTAAGTTGTAGCTGCTATCATCATTGTTCTTGTCCCTAGGTCAGGGTAGTACAAATTACGGGAAGAGCCAGCGACGCGGTGGCCACCAGAATAACTACAAGCCATACTGAGGCTTCTGCAGGAGTGCCCAGCTGACCGCACACGCTTTGTTTGGATATCAAGTGAACACAAACAATTATGTACCAAATTTAACTTGGCAAACTTTCTATGGCCTATCCCATGTGCATCTTATTTAAAATTTTCCCCTTGGAAATCACTCTCCTGTTTACTATTTCCAGAGCTCTAGTTTTAGGCAGCGTGTGGGTCTCAGTCCCGAGCGGCAATATGGGCTAATTTTAGTAACAGGTTACCCAGAACCAGATTGGAGGGTCTGCTTCCCGCTGCCGCTCTGCAGCCTGGACCTGTGGACCCTGGTTGTAAAGAGTAAAACTGTATCTTAGGAAACCAGTGTCACCTTTTTTTCACCATTTAATTTTATATTATTTGTGTCATACATTTCCTGTAATGGAAGTGTTAATTTTACTGTACTTTTTGGTACCTTTTGGGAATCTAATGTATTGTAAGGTATTTTACACGTGTCCTGATTTTGCCACGACCTGGATATTGAAGCTATCCAAGCTTTTGAAATAAAAATTTAAAAACCCCCAAACCTGGGTGAGTGTGGGGTATGCTATGAACAGGGGGTGTTAGGTGCCTCCGGGTGCTGGGGCCACCTCCTGCATCAAGCTTTTACTCAGCTTGGCCCGGTCGGGGCTGAACTGAGGCTGCTGATCATTTTGGAAAGCCCTCCAGTACCTTCCATGACCTTCTTGACTCTGCTCTGCCCAGGACTTTTAATTTTTTTAGAGAAAATGCTGGAGGTGTCAGGCAGCTATGCAGGAAGTAAACTGAGGGTTACTGTCCCCGGGGCAGTGTGACTATGGGGTGCTTGGGAAAACCTGATTTGGCCTAGGGAAATGAGATTGTTGATCCCAGCAAGGTGGGGCAATGTCATAGGGGCCATTCCTTGCGGTCCATTTGCAAGTATTTCTGATGGGGATGAGCCCTGGGGCTAGCTAGAGCCAGTATTGAACAAGCTGGCTTATGGGAGAGGGAAGCTTGAGTTGCAGAGGAGTAAAGAGCCATGTTGATGGCAAGGGTCTCAAGAGCAAGAGGCATAGGCCCACTCACCTAAAGGACCAGGGCTGCCTCCTGGCTCTAGCCTCAGCGTCTCACAACTTTTCACCTTTTCTTCCATGTCTGAAAAAAGATAATTAGATTTCAACCTTTTTGCCTCTGCTGAAGACCTCAAGCCCCCCTAGTTCTTTCCTCCCCCAGGCTCACTGAAAATTCATTCCTTTCCCCAAGCAGGTCTTGTGCCAACTCCAATTGTTAACAGGGACTGGGCCCCTCTTATCTCCAGTGAGCTGGGATGAGAGAGAGAGAGTGTGTGTGTGGGGGGGGGGGGCGGGCTTCTCTGATCTCTACCATGAGAAGGGGTTTGGCCTATTTAGGGCCCCCCCACTGAGCAGTCTGTTAGTGCACAGGCAAGTTGAATTGGGTTGACTTAAGCTTTCTCTGGGGGATTGGAAATGTGAAGAGCACTCATTTTGCATGTCAACAGTCCTGGATGCAAAACTCATTTTAGTAGCTAAAGATCCTACTTTCAAATATAGCCATGAGGGTCCTGCCACCTTTCAAGGGAGGGTTAAGAACACAGGGGTCTCCATACTCACAATACATTTGGGACTTACTTGACTTAGGAAGCTTTTCCCAGGTACAGGCAAGAACAGAAAGGAGGATTCTCTTCATTTGCTGCTCCCTACACTGTCCAGGGCATACTCTGGGTGGGCTCCAGAGATAAATGAACTACTTAACTGTCAGGATGTTATCCAGCTTTGCCACCACGTGTCTTGCGTTGTCCAGGCTGAAGCACATTGGGGGCTTAAACTTCAGCACGTTCTTCCCGGGGCCATCAGTGCTCAACAAAATAAAGTTCTCCTTCAGCCTGTAAGTACCACCAAGGACCCTTCACATGACCTTGGCCTCATGGTTGGAGCTTCAGCCACACTGCCCTCAAAGCCGATCATAGGCCAGTTCATACCAGGACACACCATTGTACCTCTCATGCCTACACAATCCTCTTGCGGCCCCAGCCTGAGGTGCCTAGTACCCGGTGCTAAGCCTGTTGCACCTGAGGTGGGGCCTTGCCTCATCTCGAGCCACATGGGGGCACCAATGTGGATAGTAAGGGTTCCTGCATTTCTCACTTAAGTCTGGCTCATGTGACACCTACGGTTTACTCTGGGTGGAAGATGCCTACCATTTGCACATGTAGAGCAGTAACTTCCCTGTCAACCTGATTCTGCACCTTACCCTTAGGTTATTTTGTAATCTCAGGTGGCACTAACCAGTTTTAATTTCAAGTTCTTTTTGGGAAGACTACCCTACTCACCATTATCATTGTCGGAGGCTCATTGGCACTTCAGGAAGTTACTTTGTCCTTGGGGTGGTGGTGGTGGGGCTTCTGATAAGACTTTACACACTAATGACCACACATGCCTCCCAATTTGGGGCATGTCCTTAGCTTGCCTTGTGCTCCCTTTCTGCCTGGCACTGGCCACTGCTAGAACAAGGTCTGGACTTTACATCCAGCTAGCTCTGCCACTGCCTAGCAGTGTGATTGGCGGGACATCTCCAGCTTGGTTTCTGTAAGTCCCTAGTGGATTACTGAGTCCGTGACTTGCAAGCTTTTGGAAAGGAGGGTGAGGTGGTGGCTGTGCCTAACTAGTAGAGGCCATGGAGACTGAGGGCCACTTAGGGTTAGTCTCAAATAACATGTCTGGGGTTTTTTTTTTTTTAAACTGAATTCAGAACAGTCCACTTTACAATCTGAGCAAGAATATATACATCTTAGAAGTTGAGGTAGAAGAGGAGGGGAGTAACAGGCGTTAGGAAAGAAGACAAAAAAGAAATCATGCCAGGAGGGGAAGGCCCCAAGGCTCGGGTCCTGCCAAGTGAGAATAAGCAAAACAGGAAAAGTGCTGGGGCATCTGAGTCTTGGCCACCCCTAAAACCCATTGCTTTGGGAATGGGGGTGGGGAGTGCTACATATAGACCCCAGTGAGGCTCTGGAGAAGTGCTTCTCTTAGGCAGCCTGGGTCTGATTGGTGCTGCTGGGGATCCAGGCCTGGTGGGCCATTTTCTCCATGTGCAGAGTGGTTGGGATGCACAATTAAGCTGTTCCCACCACCCCGTCCCCCCAGAGGCTCTGAAGCCCACCCCCTTTGGGCGCAATGCCTGGTAACAGCGAAAGGAGAGGTACTGCAAAGACATGTTTCAAGAAAAAAGTACCTGGATACCAAGTAGGCGGCCTCTTCAGTTGCTGGTGTTCTTGTTGCCTTGTCTTTAATCAGATCCACACCAACGAAGAGCCCAGCGCCCCTGGAACAGAAGGTGGCATCTCAGGCCAGGCCTGAGGACCATAGTCCTTGGTCTTAGCCAAACACCCATTGAAAAGTTCACTGGGAATTGTTACCTCGGCCTCCTAGGGAGGCTGAGAGTAGTAGGGACCCCTGGAGGGTGGGAAACAGTTTCAGAAAGTAACTGTGATGAGGAAGTGGAGGAGGGGGGCCGTTGAAAGTTAAGTTTGAAGGCTGGCTTTTGCCCTTTCTGGAGCAATTATCTTGGCGCTGTCACAGTGCAGTGTTTCAGTTCCTCCGTGGAGATAAAAACTCCCGCCAATGAGGGGGTGAGGAGGTGAAGGAAGATACCACTCCAGAGCCCAGCAGGTGCTGGGTTGGCAGTGGTGACTGTTGGCTCAGAGCCTCACCTGATGTCCCCGATGATGGGATGTTTGGCTTTCTGCTGCCCGAGGAGCTTCATCAGGAAGCTGCCGACACAGGCAGCGTGAGCCTGCAGCTGCTCCTTCTCCAGGACGTCCAAGACAGCGAGGCCCACAGCACAGGACACTGGGTTCCCCCCGAACTGAGCCAGGGGACAAGGCATGTCAGGTGCCCAGCAGAGCATCCCCAGGGAGGGTGAAGGCAGCAAGTGCCACACATCCTAGGGGCACTTTAAGAGCATTGGCCTGAACCCTTCAGTGCTCAGCTGTAAATGGGGATCCCCTGAGGCCCTGTGGGCTGTCCTGCTTTTCCAGGTGCTACTGTGACTGTAATCCACGTTAGGAATTCCAGGGGCCACAAAGAGAGCTGGAGAGAGGGTGTGCTGTGCATTCCCGCAACTGGTGTATTGTCAAGTAATTTAGGGCCCATGGTACAGAGTCATAGCATCAGACTGGTTTCTACCACCCCCTTCAAGGAGGGTCAAGAGCAGCATGCCAAAGCCACACCCAAGAAAAGCCACTGATTCACACAGTTCATGGCTCAACTTTCTGAGCCTGTGGCACATTTTAGGGTGCATGCAGCTTTGGATTCATTTTGCTTAGCTTGTGTGGCATGTTAAAAGGTTTATTTTTTTGAACATTTTTAAATGACAGGTTTATTAGCAAAAGGAGAAAGGAAAAAAGACTGCTGCATAGTCACAGGTGGGCAGGGAGGAGAGCTGCCCATTATAAGTTTTGGATTAGGTGCTAACATTTTAAAATAAGAGAATCCACACGAAACCATATTTCTCACAAACCCAGCTTATCTGGCCGCTTGGGCTTGGGCTGTGCCCACAAGGCACTCTCAATGCTTTGACTCATTTGCCCTTACCTGGCCCTGCCGGTGTCCATAGGGGAACCTGTGTTTAGAGTCACCATCAAGGGTGGCTCTTGTAGACCTTTTTAACTGTTTTTTAAAAAATCAATTTTACTGAAGTATAATACAATCAGCTGCATATTTTAAAAATGTCATTCAAAAGCAGCAGTGGACCTGCTTTTGTCACTATATAATTTTGCCTCTTCCAGACTGTCATATAAATGGAATCACAGAATATGGGCCTTTTGGTGCCTGGCTTCTGCTCAGCATGTTTTGGAAATGTATCAATATTGTGTATTTCAGTAGTTTTATTGCTGCATAGTATTCCATTGTATGGGCATACCACAGATTCACCCAGTCTCCTGTTGATGGAACCTTGGGTTATTTTGATTTTTGGCTGTGATGAATAAAGCACTTACGAACATTTATTGACAAGTCTTTTCGTAACCATACATTCTCATTTGGTGTGGAACTACTGGGTTGTATGATAAAAGTATGGCTAACTTTTGTGAAACTGCTTTCTGTGAGACTGCTTTCCAAAGTGGTAGAGACATTACAAACACACCATTAGATTATGAAATTCCAATTCCACACTCTCAAAAACATTTGGAATTGTGAGTCTTTTTAATTGCAGCCATTATAATGGGTGAGTACTGGCATCCTGTAGACCATCTTGAAAATCTCATACCTGAGATCACACGACGCTTCCTAGGTGTTTCTACTATAAGACAGCTTTCTGATATGTCCAAAATAAATTGTGTGTGATGGACACAGGCTGGTTTGAGGCTGCTTATTGTTTACTATCAATAACTGTGAACTCCTTAAAATGTGAGTATCTACCTACTAATAACATCTTTGGTTTAGAATCATGACTTAGCCAAGATGCCAAACAAGCATAATAGAAAGGTCTTCCCTCAAGATGACTCCAGAGGAACAAAAGAAAGGAAATGAAAAAAAGCATTATCCTGGGAATCTAGAAAGCCATGCATATGCATAGGGCTATGCTCATGCCCAGTGCTATGTACATATTTAGGAAAGGCCCAGAAAACCCTGAGCTCTCACCATTGGCTACCTTGAAGCTCTGAAGAAGGAGGAAGTAAGGGTTGAGATGGAGGTGTAAACCATGTGGCTGAGAGTTGAAGGCATGCCCCAACGTGCACCCAGTACCCCTTGTCAAAGGCTGAGAGATTTCTCACTTCCAGACAGTTGAGATTTCTGTCTAATCATCAGATGACCACTAAGCAACTAGGCTAATACAGTGACACATGACAAAGAACACAAGATTTTACAGAATTAGTTCAGAAAAAAAAAACAATACAAATAGGCAACAACAACAATAAACCATGGGGAGGGAATATGATTTCTAAAGTTGCCACATTATTTATCTACTTATTAGTTTTTATTTATTTTCGTGTAGAGGGTGAGAGGATACACCAGAGCCAGAGTAGGGAGCAGAACAGGTGGCTCTACTGAAATATACTGCTGAGGGGAACAGCGGGCAAGACAGGAGCAGTGTGCTGTGCAATGTGGGTAGCTCCCTGGCTGGAGATTGAACTCAGGCTGAAGTGGTGATAGTGCTGAGACTTAACTCCTAGGCCACCAGGGAGGTCCATTATATTATTTAAATTGTACAATTTTTAAAAAAAGATTTATTTATGGATACAAGAGCTGGGGTACAGGCCAGAGGTGTGGAGGTGAGAGGATTCACCAGAGACAGCAGGGAACAGAATAGGCAGAGTGACTGAAATACACTGCTGAGGGGAGCAGCAGGTGAGACAGGAGAGGTCGGCTGCGCCATGTGGGTAGCTCCCTGGCCGGTGATCGAACTCGTGCTGTAGTGGCCGTGGATAGCTTCATAGGTTGCGTCTTAACCCCCTGCACCACCAGGGAGGCCCCTAAATTGTACAATTTTCAACAGAAAATTATGCAATGTACAGAGAAAGGAGAAACTATGGTCCATATATAGGGGTGGAGTGTGGGAGAAGCAATCCCCAAGGAAACCCTATCTAAAGTCCTTACATAAGGATTTAAATCAGCTGTTATAAATATGTCAAAAGAACTAAAGGAAACCATATCATCTAAAGAACTAAAAAGCAAATTATGAAAATGATGTATCACCTAATACAGAATATCAAACAAGAGACAGAAATGATAAAAACCAAATAGAAATTCTGGAGTTAAAAGTAGAACTATAATGAAAAAATCACTAGAGGAGGCTTTACTCCAGATTTGGGCAGGCAGAGGAAGAATGAGCAAAACTTGAAGATACGTCATTGAGAAAAGAAAACAAAAAACTGAACACAGCGTCAGAGGTCTGTGGGGCACAACAGTGGATGTGAACATATACCAAATGGGAGTCCCAGAAAAAGGGGAGAAAGAATAGAAGAAACAATGATCAAAACTTCCCAAATTTGGGCCTCCCCGGTGGCGCAGCGGTTGAGCATTGGGTTGTGAAGCTGCCCGCGGCCTCTGCGGCGCCGGTTCGATCCCCAGCTGCTCCCCGGCCACCGGAGGAGGATCCCACGTGGCGCGCAGACCTCTCCTGCCGCCCGCTGCTCCCCTCAGCAGTGTGCTTCGGTCCTTCTGCCTGCTCTGCTCCCCGCTCTGGCTCTGGTGAATTCTCTCACCCTCCCGCGCTTCTGACTGTACCCAGTGCATGTATAAACAAACAAATAAAATAAATAAAAAAAAAAAAAAAAAAAAAAAAACTTCCCAAATTTGATTTAGCGAAAAAAATCCAAGAACAATTTACATATCCAATTGGCTCAATGAACTCCAATAGAATAAACTAATGAGTTCCATACCTAGACTTAACAAGCCATCAAAAGACAGGAAGGTGGGTGAAATGCGTGAAGGTGATCAAAGATACAAACTTCTAGTTATTAAAAAAATAAGACACAGGGCCTCCCCGGTGGCGCAGCGGTTGAGCGCTGGGTTGCGAAGCTGCCCGCAGCCTCTGCAGGGCCAGTTCGATCCCCGGCTGCTCCCCGGCCACTGGAGGAGGGTCCCGCATGGCGCGCAGACCTCTCCTGCCGCCCGCTGCTCCCCTCAGCAGTGTACTTCGGTCCTTCTGCCTGCTCTGCTCCCCGCTCTGGCTCTGGTGAATTCTCTCACCCTCCCGCGCTTCTGACTGTACTCAGTGCTTGTATAAATAAATAAATCTTAAAAAAAAAAAAAAGACACGGGTGAAATGTACAGCATGGGGACTATTGTCAGTAACAACTATCATGTACATTGCTGAGAGCAGGCCTTAAAAATTCTTATTACAAGAAAAAAAATAACTAGTGATGGATGTAAGACTTATTGTAGTGATCAGTTCACAATACACAAGCATTTCTCACTTTTTGGGACTCACGTCCTGATTTCAAAACATTGCAAAGCTGTAACAGTCTAGACTGCCCAGGGGCCTCCCTGGTGGCTTAAGGGTTAAGCCTCAGTGCTATCACTATTCATGCCGGAGTTCAATCTCCAGCCAGGGAGCTAAACCCACATGGCGCGCAGACCTCTCCTGTCTCACCCACTGCTCCCCTCAGCAGTGTACTTCAGTCAGTCTGCCTGTTCTGTTCTCCTCTCTGTCTCTGGTGAATCCTCTCAATCCCTGCACCTCTGGCCTGCACCCCCATTCTTCTATGCAAAAATAAATAATATCTTAATAAAATAGACTGTGCAGCTGAGGAAAGATCAACTAATCAATGGAACAAAATCAAGAGTACACAAAATGCATACATTTATGATCAATTGATTCTTGAAAAGGGTGCCAAGACCACTCAATAAGAGAACATTTTTCAGCAAATGGTATTGGGACAACAGGATAGCCATGTGCAAAAGACTCCAGTTACCTTACCTGCTACTTCATACCTGACACAAAAAGGGGTTAAAATGGATCAAAGACCTTAATGTAAGAGCTAAAACTGTATAATTTTAGAAGAAAACAAAATGAAATCTTCATGTTGTTTGATCAGGCAATGGTTAGATATGAGTCCAAAGCACAAATAACCAAAGAAAAATAAACTGAACTTTATCAAAATTAAAAACTTGTGCTTCAACGAAACATTGGCAATGTTCACAACATCAGTGATACACATGTTTTTGAATACTCAACCTCTATGGCAAGGAAAATAAACAATTGGGATGATCTCATTAAAAAGCTTTTACATAGTGAAAGAAAATATAAATAGATTAAAAGGACTGCTGAATGGGAGAAAATATTTACACATTACATGACTGACAAGGAGCTAATACCCAAGATTTTAATTTTTTTAAGATTTATTTTATTTATGCATACAA